AAAACGCGACGCAGTGTGCCATCCTTCCCACGGGGCAACGAATGATCAGTGATGCCCCAAGTGCCTCGCTCGCTATTTCACAATGAAGCGCATCTCGCGTCCAAACCCTAGCCCCCTCCCCTCTCGTTGCAGCGCCTCACTTGAGAGCCTGCAGCTGCGTGAAGACCTGCGCCCGGTGGCACTCCTCCATGGTGGAGGCCAGCGAGGTCATGATGTTGCTCTCTGTGCCCACCATCTGCACGATCTCCTGGTCCGACTCAATGCCCATCGCCTTAAAGACGATCGACACCGGGATCACCTGCGCGGGACGAGGACTGGTCAGATCGACACCGGGATCACCCGCGCGGGATGAGGACCGGTCAGATCGACACTGGGATCACTTGCGTGAGACGAATACCGGTCAGATCGACACCGGGATCACCCGCGCGGGACGAGGACTGGTCAGATCGACACTGGGATCACCCCGCGCGGGACGAGGACTGGTCAGATCGACACCGGGATCACCTGTGCGGGACGAGGACTGGTCAGATCGACACTGGGATCACCTGCGCGGGACGAGGACTGGTCACATCGACACTGGGATCACTTGCGTGGGACGAATACCGGTCAGATCGACATCGGGATCACTTGCGAGGGATGAGGACCGGTCAGATCGACGCAGGGGTCACCTGCGCGGGACGAGGACTGGTCACATCAACACTGGGATCACTTGCGTGGGACGAATACCGGTCAGATCGACATCGGGATCACTTGCGCGGGATGAGGACCGGTCAGATCGACGCAGGGGTCACCTGCGCGGGACGAGGACTGGTCAGATCGACACTGGAATCACCTGTGCGGGACGAGAACCGGTCGGTGCCGCGTAGCATCCACAAACCACACTGTTTTCAGCGCTCGTTGAAAGTCATATCAATACAGCGTAGCGGCAAAGGTTAGCTCGGCAGTACGGACTACGACCACATTCCTAATATTCTACACAGCCACGCATGACTCGAGCCTCCCGCGCTGAAAAATATTATGTTTCACAAATATGTCCGTGGCATCCCAGAGGAAAACGTAATTTAAGGCACGCATGGCGCGATAGCGCCATGCCACTATAGCGTCAAACATCCGGGCACTCCCAGGTCGCCTAAATAAGAGCGGCCTCGAGCCGTCAGAGCACACCGGCGCCCCAGTCCGCTGCGGCACGCGAGCACGTCAGCAGACGGCCGCCTGACAGGCCTCTGGCGCCGCTCCCGCGCCCGGGGCAGGGTATGACGGCGCACTGACAGATCGCGGCTTCCGGCCGACAGCCAATCACAGGCCATCGGTTGGTCTGGTACACCTAACGCTGGCAGCAGTGAGTGCACTGACAGCCAGACCAAGGTACAGCAATCACTGTTATTCGCCGAAAAATGGAATGCTGTATTATATAGAATATAGAATGATGATGGGAATGTACCATGACGTTAACAGCATAAAATGAAAAACTTATTTATGCAGTTGGGCTGAGCACGGCATCACGCTTCTGCCAACTAAACCCTGCAAAGACTATTCCAATATCTGAGAAAAATTGCGCTCGGCCCTGGCACTGTGAATTGCTGGTAAATTACCGGACTATGCTCATTCCTGCATTATATAACAATACGTCCTGACTTCGTCCCAGACAACATTACTCACAGACTGAAAAACGGCTCCAATCCCTCGGAAAACGGCAAACCAACAAGCCACTGACGGGAGGGGGGGGGGGGGGGGCAATCAGCCCCCGAGATGAGTGTACTGCACTGTGACTGACATCTTTGAAGGTGTTGTGCTTCAGGTAGTATTTGCCGCGCTTGAAGATGAGGTTGGTGCGCGGACTTCTTCTCGTGGGTGCTGCTGGTGACCTGGCATTGCACGTTGCCCTTGCTGTCCTGCTCCACGATCATGCGGTTCTTGCTGAGCTGCTCCTGGATCAGCACCACCTAGCGGACAGCACGTGAACCAGCGGTCTGGTTAGCCCAGTAACTTCACAACACAGGCGGGGTGGCCGCCGCACATGGGTGGCTTAGACGGTTGCGGTCAACACAATGCAATAGATGGGAACATGCTTAAATTGTCACCACCTCCTCAAAAGAGCACCAGCAGATTAGAAATATGTCTACAGAATGTCAGTACAGTACATCTCAAATGCCATTGCCTACGGGTTCCCTTCGTGAATGCTAGCGACAGTCAGCCTGCTTCACCCACAAAGACCGGCAGGCTTCCTTCAACACACACACATCTCACGCTTCTCGGGTCGCGCGGGCGAGGGGTCAGCCCGTGCCCGTGCCACTGCCGCTGCTTGACCTTCTCGGCTCGCGCGGCCGGAGCGGTCAACCCATACCGCCCCTTGACCTCGGCTCCCACGGGCGAGGTCAGCCCGTGCAGCCACCTGAACTCGGCTCGCGCGGTCGAGCGGCCAGCCCATGCCGCCCCTTGACCTCGGCTCTTACGGGCGAGAAGGTCAGCCCTGTCGCCACCTGACCTCCGTTCGCACGGGCGAGAAGGCATCCCGTGCAGCCACCTGACCTCGGCTCGCGCGGTCGAGCGGCCAGCCCATGCCGCCCTTGACCTCGGCTCACGCGTGGCGAGAAGGCAGCTCACTGCTGCCGCCTAACCTTCTCGGTTCCGCGGACGACGAAGTAGCCGCCGGGGTCGTGCGGACACTCGTCCAGCTTAGCCAGCTCGGCGTGCGTCTTGCCCGTCAGCACGCAGTTGGAGCTGCGCAGCATGATGGGCATGCGGCCGATCGGCAGGCCGTTCCTGAGCACAAACGCAACATGGTGGGGCGGCTGCGGTGCGACGTTCGGCCGTGAAATGTCGGGACATATCCGGCCACGCCACTAAACACAATGTGGAAGACCGAAAATTTGTGGAAAGCCGCCAAATTGAATGGAACGCGAATTACGACCTGGTGCAGGTAAATCTGATGACTGATGGGGGGGGGGGGGGGATGGGCTGCACCACAGCCTTGCACTAATCCCAGCGTCCTCCTGCGATATTGCGAAAGTTTAGCAACATGACTTACCTCACTACACATTTGCAAAATAGCAAAACAGCAATGGCTTGCAAAGAATGGATGGAGAATAGCTGGAGAGAAAGGGAAAGTGCAAAACTCCTACCAAAAGCGAGCTCACGTGAGCCTATCCTCCAGGGCCAGGACAGGTGACCCACCTGACGACGCGCTGGTTGCCGCGCGTGTACTCGATGTCGACGGTGACGGTGGCCGAGTAAGTGATGTCGCGCAGCCGGCACTCGTGCGGCGAAGTCGGGCCGGTTCATGTTGAAGCCCTCCTCCACATCAGGGATACCCACATGCACATTCAAGTACCTGGTGATGGTGGCAGTGAAGCAGTGGTCACTCAAGATGATCTGATAGTCAGGCTCATGACCACATCACAGCATTGTATTTTCTGGCACTCAAAAGCATTGGGACTAGAGTCCAATTCTGCTGGATAATAAGATGCAAAAACTACCCCCATGTCATACCAGCAGCAGAATATAGTAACTGAGTAGCCAAGTACCACAAATATGGCTCTATTTGCCACCAAATCTTGGTCAAAATGAAGCTCGAAGTACAAAAAAGTATTCCATATTTCACACCAGATGATCAGAACACCTATTCTAAGCATGAATTATCTATAGATGGCAAATATTCAGTTGCAGTGTTGGGTTAGTTAACTTATACTCACTTCACATAGAAACTAGGGTCTGCATCACTGACAACCTTGTCATTTGCATTGACAATATTCTTGATATCAGTGTTTATGAAGTAATTGAATGAGTCAATGTGCTGCTTCACCAGCCCTTTTGTCTGCAGGAAAGCAGGCAACAGCTTCCATTTGTCCTGAAAAAGGTGATGCACATATCTGCCTGATGTTCAATGGCTTATGGTCCTGCCTACCAATCAGTACCAGGCATATCTGCAATTCAGATACAAAAAGATATCCTTTGAGCATTTTTGAGACAAATGCTAACCTATGGTGTACTAGGTTAAACTTAGCTAAGATCTCAGGAACACTGCCCAGTGAGCAGAGATGCTCTACTCAAACTCACATGCTCTCATTGCATATTGTGCATGGAATGGCCCCAAAAGAGCCTGTGTGTCTGGTTCTGCCAAAACTAGTAAAACATTTTGGGATGATAAGCAGTCACATGCTGAGCTGGAAAATGCACATATTGCGAATAACATTGCAAGTCATCATACTTCCAAACTTTTGCCTACAGATTACTATTTCAATTAAAACATCAACAAACACAAAATGGAATAACACAATTCATTAAAAAGGATTTGAGTTGCACTTATAATGAGCACATATTGGCAAATGATAAGGGTTACTATGAGAAGAAGAAACAAGAAACAAGAACAGGTACAAGAAGAACGCGGGGACTATAAAGCTGGCACAAGTGCAATACTCAGGTCAGACAAGGCCAGGGTAAAGGTGGAGGCATAAGTGCATGAACAGCAGAATGAGTGCCAGTACGCATATGAGTAGCAGAATTATTGTTAATAACAATGCTACTAAATACTGGAGACAAACAATAGTGCTAATATATGACATATAGATAAGTGTCTACTCACCTCAACAGCTTTGATAGGCTCAGCCAATCTGCTCATTTGACCATGGCTCCCACTCCAAATACTTTCCCCCATTCTTCGCCTGGGCTTTAGGAATTGCTTCAAAGAATAAATATATCAATATCAAGACATCAACACGTCACACGTGGCTGATAATTTGGCATAAACGGTATAAACATATCAAAACAAAACCGGCATAACATCCCAGAGATTTCTTCCTGTGCAGACTTTTGTAGCAACTGCGCCGTGAATGTATCAATATTTTTAAGGGTGTTTCATAATAAGCACAGAGGACTTTGATTTGTTAATTACAATGATGAATGTCAAAAAATATAACAAGCTGGTCTTTATCCAATGTTATTCAAGAGTAGATAACAGCTAGCTTAGTGAAGAAATATATCAAATATAATTATGGCGGCGCTGTCGGCACCAACCGGTGTAAACTTCCTTTTGATCGTGAACATGTCTGAGAAAAAGCGGGTGAGGATTGAAGCATGTGTGATCCATTTTCCCTTGGGTTTTTCAAGGCATAACTGGTTAAATCGAAGTGCTGCGGTGAAATGTCGAGTTTGTGCCGGCGGGGTGTGCGTTTACTGTCCAAATGACGTTATATTTGGTGTTTAGTATTATGCGGCGATACCGACGTGCATGGTTATAACATAAGTATTGAAGTTATGGGCGTTTGTGGTCACTATGTCAACGGCTGTAAGCGGGTGCATTTCAGTCGCGTTATGTTGGCTGTGTGTAGTGACCCATAACCTTGCTGGGATGCAGTAGTCCCAGATCAACATGTTGCTGGTGTCAGTCTTTGAGGCTTTCGCATGTTTTTTTTGCATAATGTTTGGAGCTGTAGCCCAGGGGCATGAGAGCCCAAATGCTACTACTCTTATGTGTTTTTATTATCAGAATGATGTTTAAAAGCCTATGATTATTTTGGACATGGGGTTATTTTGCACCACTGATTTTCCAGTTGTTGGCATGTGACCTGCATCAGCAAAATTCCTTGCACCATAATGACCATGAGTAGTGGGTGCATAGATATGCATCACAGTCCCAGGTTGCCACTGAAGAAGAACCTTACAAGCAAGATTGGTGGTGACATTCATATACATGTTTTTGAGCCATACAGTTTTATGTAGGCATGTGCCTTATTTTTCCAAAGTATTGCATGGTAGCTATGTTGGATTAATATTAGCAACATGCTGTACATCCCTTAGGTGAGTTCTGGCATAGCCATGTGTGCAGAACTAAAAAAAAGTGACAATAAGAACATTGCTGTCCTAATAAGGCTGACAACTTCCTGGGATTAGACTGAGAGCCTAGCCTAACTTTGTCATGAACTTTGGCATTTGTTCCATGCTCATTTGACATAATGTACCAGCCATCAGCTGTGGCATTGAGTGAAGCTATGCCCTTATGCTAGCAGGATAGTCATTAGGTTTGGTTCAATCCTTCAAATAATTTCAGCAAGTGTTATCCAAGGGTATTTATTTTAATGGCAGACATTTATTCTGTCTGCCTTAAGTATCTTGGTAACATTTTCAATAGTTTGCAGGCTGGACTGATATGCTCATGTTGTGATATCTTATATTTTTTACTAGAACTAAATGGTGGGACAGCCTAGGTCCCATGAGTCCATGTCAGGGATATATGCAAGAGGGGCTCATTGATTCCAAGCAAACATATGGGTCTTTCCTTTCCAAGGGTGAATGTAGGATTTGTGTTGAGTTTTGAATTGGAAAAATTCATCTTAAAAATATTCTGGCAAAGTTAGCTGCTCTGCCCTTCTTAAGACTGACTCCCCCCCCCCCCCTCCCCCTCCCAGTTCTTGAGTGGTACACTCATGAAGTTGCGCAGACTGTCTCAAGGTCACTGAGGGATCCAACGAGGCTGCAGCAGTATCATTCAAACCCTGCCATTCTGTTGGCCATGCTGCAATTTTTGCCAATGAAAATATAGTTGTTGACTCATTGATATCTGGCACTCATGAACACCATTTCTGGATAATACAGCTATCAGCTGGACCTCAATCAGTGTTGCACATGATGTATTGGCACCACCGAAGAATGTTGTGTGGAACATATTTGCTAAATACAGAAGTTGTGTTGCCAAGGGCAGTATTTTCCACTAGAGTGAGTTGATTTCATCCAAGTTGATGCTTGCTTCGATATTTTCTAAAGTGTAGCATTTTCTTAAAGGTCTGATACTGACACTGGTCAGAGTGTATGAAGTACCACATGTCAAATACCCCCTTACTGGCCCGGAGGGGGGCACCTACACCAGATTGGGAAGAGATAGGCTGGCTCATTGGTGTTGTAATGTCTCAATATTGGCAAATTGGTCATTATTTGATTTCAGTGCAGACATGAAACATTCACTCACAAAACAATGTTGGAACAGATTGTTTAAATTTTTATGTTGCTTCTGATTGTTTTCATTTTTCTGTTGGTGATGGGGTTAAGTGTCATCATGTGGCCAGAGCATTTTCAATAAGTGAATTGTTGCAGACCCAGCGTGGATGACCCTTGTAAGGCAAAGAGGGGGTTGTGTATGTCCCAGATTATGCTGATGTGCAGAACTGGAGTGATAATTTTGGCTGAATTCAGCAAAGTTTGACTGGCACTAGTGTCAGTTTTCCATGGATTGGATGCAATTCAGCATTTTTTAGTGCTGGCAAGGTTCCAAGAATGCCAGCTGAGGCTTTGGTATTTGAGATACCCCTTACCTTTGTGACATTGAATAAAATTTATTTCTGCATCGTACCCCCGCAGCAGTTTTAGCCCACTGTCATGGACAAATTTGCATGAGGATATGGTTGTTAAACTCCTTTCACAAGCAATGTAACTTATACTATTTAAAAAATTGAAAATTGGCATTCCCTACTTTTGGCACACCATATGTAGATGTTGGGCCTACCTCATGGCACTGGAAACATGTGGGTTACATAGGTGACATGCACTTGGCAGGGCCCCTGGGTGCAGGGTGTTGGGGGGGGGGGGGGGGGTGTTCAACTGCCTGTTGTGTATATCTAATGCCGAATACTACTCTGAGGTAAAATATCTCAGGCATCTGCTGCAGGAGAAAATACAGTGTCCATAGCAGTGCTGTGAAATGTCATTGTGCCATGTAGGTGAAGCTGAGTCATCAGTCAAAATGTTGTTTTTCTATTACACTATAGCATATCAGGAAGCATCCAATGATTATTCAGCAACAAACAAGGTGCTCATAGTGCATTGGTAATGCCGCATATCGGGGTAGTTAGAGATACAAGTTTCTTTGATTTCTTGTGGTGCCCACTTTCACCAGGGTGGGGAACATGCAATGCTGTATGGCTTCAGCACCTGAGTGCATTGTAAAGCTAATTACAATGGCAACTGTAGCAACAACTATATTCTCCAAAACCGGATATAATTTTTAGCAACAAAGGTCAGATCCCCATAGGCAATGTAGTAGCATTGACCCAATTTGTGGTGTAAGAGTATAAAGGAGTTATTCTTGCAAATCCTAAATGTGGTCAAGTGACCCAACAAGTTTGAAACTTTATATTTATGTCATGCAACATAGGTCCAGTGTCAGCAGGGAGGCTGAAGGTGCCAGTCTGTGCCATACTGAAAAGCTGCACTGATGTCGGCTGCGCTCTGACCCGGGCTCGGCCCGCGGCCACCGCCAATGGCTGTCACGTGACCGCCTCGGACGTCCTCTGCTGCGCTCTGACCCGGGCTCGGCCCGCGGCCACAGCCGATGGCCGTCACGTGACCGCCTCGGACGTCCTCTGCTGCGCTCTGACCCGGGCTCGGCCCGCGGCCACAGCCGATGGCCGTCACGTGACCGCCTCGGACGTCCTCTGCTGCGCTCTGACCCGGGCTCGGCCCGCGGCCACAGCCAATGGCCGTCACGTGACCGCCTCGGACGTCCTCTGCTGCGCTCTGACCCGGGCTCGGCCCGCGGCCACAGCCGATGGCCATCACGTGACCGCATTCGACGCACGTCAGGTCGCCCGACGCGGCTTCAGCGCCAATGTCTCAGCTGTGTTTCATTGATTAATGTTCTCATTGCAGGCTATCGTGGTCGATGGCAGCGGCCACCTCCTCGGCCGCCTGGCCGCGGTGGTGGCCAAGGCCCTCCTGTCGGGAGACAAGGTGGTGGTGCTGAGGTGCGAAGGCATCAACATCTCGGGCTCCTTCTTTAGGTATGTTTTTTTACTAAGATCATCGCCATTGTTGCTCAGACAAAGCTGCTATTTTGTGCAATGTGGTATCTCCATTTTTCAGAGGACCTTGTATGTCAGTTTGTCCTCACGTGCATCTGCTGCGCTAGTTGATAATGTGGTAAGTATTGTATGATCACTGCACCCTTGTTCAGCTTCAATGGTTTGATTGTCTTGTGAAACACTGTCCAATGTCTTTCAGGAACAAGCTCAAGTACATGGCGTACCTGCGAAAGCGGTGCAACGTGAACCCGGCTCGCGGCCCGTTCCACTTCCGCGCGCCCGGCATGATGCTGAGGCGTGTTATCCGGGGTGAGCTGCTGTCACGGCACTGTCGGTAGACGTGGGTAATGATCCAGACATCGGGAGTGTCGGGCTATACATCGGACCGATGTATAGCCCGACACTTCCGTAGGAGCACCGTGCTTCGTACAGGTCTCATATGGATCGCAGAAATCAGTTGTTGTCCAGCTCACTGGTGTTGCAGAGGTAGTAACTTTCAATAGTGCTGTTGTCTGCTGTAGCTTTCCAGCTGTTTTGTGTGTTCAGTAATGCGCACATTATGTCGACATGCTGGCGCGACGTGACCCGTTCGTGGCGCCAGCCGATCTCTGATCCATGTGCGACACAGAAGCTTCCAATTGCAACTCACCATGTCAAGTCATCCACATGGTGTTACTAACGGAAGCGACAGCGCTGGTGCGCGGTCCCGCCCCGCCACCGGCTTCGCGCCCCACTCGGGGCACTGGTAATATACTGGCTATGACGCTCAACTCTGGACCTGTGGGTTTCGGGTTCTGGCCCCTGCCACGCCACCACTGCGCCCCACATGACACCCTCATCATCGCGTCCATCTCGACATAGCGCTGGCGGGCCGCCGAGACGTAAATCCCCAATTGTTATTATGATTATTCCTGATTATTGGAATAATCAGCTCCTGCCAGCTGACCGACTGACGGGCCCGTTCGCCACGCAGGCATGCTGCCACACAAGACGCGCCGCGGCGGCACGGCCATGCTGAACCTGCGCTGCGTGGAGGGGCGTGCCGCGCGAGTACCAGAAGCTGCGCCGCCACGTGGTGCCGTCGGCCATGCGCAAGATGCGCCTGCGCCCCGGACGCCCGGTACGTGCCTCAGCGGACGGCGCCAGGGGGGGGGGGGGGGGCACAGGACTTGGAAGCAATTGCTGACGGCGTTTTCGTGCTCCCGCTCGGATTTGCTCTCAGTGTTAGGCTGTCGGGTGTGGTTCAAGATGCACATAATGTCGACATCACGGCTGGTCACTCCTGTTTGTGCCTGGCTGTGTACAGTTTTACATGTGCTATATGAATGCCTCTCATTGCAACTCATCCTCACAAGTTATCCCGAGGGTGATACTACGAGAAGCTACACATGACTGATCAGATATCAGTTGTATTGAATTTTTCATTTGTAACCTGCTATTCCAGCATGCAGTGACACAATATTGGGAATCATTGTATTGCTGTGTGTTAACAGGACAGTCCCAACAGGTCATGATCGCTAGAATCCACGAACATGTTGCAAGTACTTTTGTATCATTTTTTCAAATGTTTGGGCTTTGTATGATGGTGATGGTCTTTCAATCATCCCTGTTTCACAGTCAACAAGCCCCATACCATTACAGTTGTCAGCAATGGCCTTTTCTCATCCACTGTTATATGTTATGAGACTGGACTGTCGACGATGCACGACTCGTGCTGTTTGTGAGCACCGCGCGTGTTCGGCAGTACTGTGAGCTGGGCCGCCTGGGTCACGAGGTGGGCTGGAAGTACCAGGATGTGGTCAAGACCCTGGAGGCCAGGCGCCGCGTCAGGGATCACGTCTACGCCAGGAAGATCGCCCTGCAGAAGGTGGGTGAACGGGAACTGACGGTCGGCTCAGGGCTTTTGTGAACCAGGGGATGTTCCAATTTCGTTTTTAACATCGTGCGATTTTGCTCGTGGGTGTGTTATGTAGGGTCGCGTGCTGTATGGGATGTCTGGAACATGTAGAAACTTATGTACAGTTTTCAATGTTCCAAACCAAAGTTTACCCTTGGTGCAAGGAAGACATGCTGTTTGTCGCCAGTATTGACTGACGTTACAGTGACGGGAGGGGGGGGGGGGGAGATCTGTGCTTGGGGTACATTTGGGCTAGCGTCGCCCCGGCGCCGACCGCTCAGCTGGTCTCGATGTCTGCTATTTCGGTGTTGATTTGGGGGGGCTGCTTTTCACTAACGGCTTGATGTTTGTTTCAGAAACTGAAGTCACGCGTTTTGAAGCAGGTTTCAAAACAGATCGCGCCCATCGACAAGGAGCTGGCTGAGCTGGGGTGCGTTGTGTAATGTCACCAATACAAGCCCTCAAGTGTGGCGGCGTTTTATTGGGAGGTGTTTTGAACGACCGGAGAACGCTAGTTTGTACTGCACAGTCACTTGATATGAACAAATTTTACACTCGGTTATTGGATCGTTCTCAAGTGAATGTCTAGGGTCCCAACAGCACTGCTGAAAGCTTGTGATCAATGTTGTACCTTGGTAGAGTGTAGGGAAATTCTGAATAACATCCATCGCTTTTGGGCGAAGCAGTGAACAAGTCTTACGCAGCTGTTCTTTCCATGTGACACACTGAATCCAACCAGCTCTAATAACTTACTTTCAAGACACTGCAGGCAATTTGACCAGACAGGATATTTCTGGAACGTTGTAACCTCACCACTTCTTCATCGCTACACTCAATGAGCAGGTGGAGCATGAAATATTCCAATCTCAAACAGCAGGTCGTCAAGAGGTCCAGGTCTCGGCAACCAGGTGTTGCATTGTCATAAAACTAGCTGATGGCAAAAGCAAGCCGACAATCGACTGCAGACAATCGCGCTGGTGGGTCGATGAGTGCGGACTGAAGCGCGCGGCCGCGCGCGAGCTTGGCTTTGAACTCCCGAGGGACCGGTGTCGGACCTTGGCAACCAGAGCAGGTGAGGGCGTGGGACCATACACTGCACCGCGTGCTGTTCACGCGGAGGCGTGCGCAGTGTGCGTGAACGCACCGTCTACAAAGCGAGAAACGACAATGATAACCCGCCAAAGCAGTTAGATGCATTTGGTGAGCAATAACAAGCCTGGCGCAGTCCATGTCACCGTTTCCAAAACCAACCTGAAATGCATTCTGCGCTCTGAACGGAGGCATATATATTTACACAGCTCCCATATATACTAATAAATTTTGTATGCTTGTAGGTGGTGCTTGACGGCAGCATCTGCTTCAAGCATTGGCTTTTCGGACTGAGCTCGTCGCGGTCGCCAAAAAAGTGCTTGGTTTAAAACGCGACCATCTCGTCTGAGTTATAATTCATTATCATCCATTGACAATTTTCCAGTACCGCTAGTTGTAAACGTCGGCGCGAAGTCCTCGTGAGTGCGTCTACGCCTTCTAAACTCGTAAAGGTAGGGTATTCTGATGCACTGACGAGTGATTCGTATGGGTTTTGAGAGCACGCGGACCCATTTCTTATACCTGCATTGCGGTCAAGTTCACGCTTGAAGTCTCGCACCACGCCGCAACAGACGTCTTACAAGTTAACGTTGGTGTTGCTGTTAGCATCCATTGGCGTCTGTTACAATGCGAACTATTTGTTAGCGTAACCGGGCCCGGGTAACCTGGTAACTGGTTATGATTGCGTCACGAACGCCTCGCCAGGCGTTCCATGTGTCGGCCGTAGATCCTCCTCGCATACCGGAGCCCAGTTTCCCTCGGTAAACATCAATGCAGTAGGCGTGTCGGTCGTGGCACCTTAGCTTTTGAAGCTGTCGTCAACATCTTGTTTTGGGCAAAAGGACCTTCAAATTGGCGGGGTAATAAGGGCCGAAATTTACTTTTTCCTTCTTGTTTTGATTGTAAAAAACAAATTGTAATTGTAATTGCATCATTTCATCAATTAATTAATGTCATTGATTGTACAAACAATTGTAAAAACAAAAATACCTCCCCCTCCCCCCCCCCCCCCCCCCCGCTGCTGAGAATCTGAATGCCGTGGACCGAGGTTTTCTGCCGTGGCGCCGCGGATGGTGAACAAACTTGCGCTGCTCGCCGGCGCCGCCAGGCTGCGCTGTTCACCGCCCTCCAGCAATGCTCGAGTGTCCTCGGCGGGCTGGTTGATTGTTATGTTAAGTAAACTCAAGCAGAAGCACGCGTTGTGTGGGTCTGTGTGTGTGTGTGTCGTCTACGTCACGAGCGAGGATGCAGGCAGAGCGAGTCTTGCCAGAACCGTAAACAAAATGTTCAACTGGAGACCACAGACTCAGGAGCACACATCATGGGTCCAGGGACACGGATCATGGGTCCAGGAACACGGATCACGGATTCAGGGTCCAGATCTCGACGGCTCGGGACTGCAGTGGCGCGAAGCTGGCTAACGGTGACACAGGAAAAAACGGACAATCATACTGACAAAAGTGTTGGTCGATGCTCGCATGCCAGCACGTGATGTGCTCGAATCATGCATGAGCCCGTTTTGGAGCGTTTTAAAGATTTACGTCCGATGTATGAGACCAGAACAGAAGATACATGAGATCAACCGCATGGTGGGAAACGATGTATGGTCTACACGCAGTGAACGATCTCAACACCGACATAGCAGGGCAATGACAAACTAGTCTCATGATCAGTATAAACATCACTAGAATCAGTGTCTCCCCATTCAATTAACACGGAAAAGGAAATATTTCCAAATTTTTACATAATTTTGACATCATCACCACTGGAAGAGAAAACGTTTTCAAAGTTGGCGCTCTGAGACTGGTTTGTCACTGCCTTGCTACGTCTGTGTAATCATGAGTCTCAATCAGTACTTCGTCATACGTCTCAACACACTTACTCGTAAGGTGCCCTAGTAATCGATCGAGAGCAGCCAGTGCCAGCATGCCGGAAGCAGTCTCAAACGACACACTGGCTTAAACCAACAACTGATGCGGAAAAGGACTGCGTTGGCACAAAACCTTGGTCGTTGCGGTCAATATCCGCCCAAAATGGTTGTGTTGTAGTGTTCCAGGAAAACCCAAACTCCCCACTCTTGAAAGGGCATGTTTTACTACAGTGTCAGAACCTACTTGTATGTGTTCTCAAGGGCAGCCGGGTTCCTTTGCATGCATTTTGATTGCTGTGCTTGACGATATCACTCAATGTTACTGTCAACCCGCTCTTCCTCTGCCAGTAAAATGCGTCAAACTGGTGGAGATATGCGACAGATAGGTGTATGGTTGTACGCAGGGGGAACGAAGATGACTACAAATGTCATGTAAAAGATACCAACCTGACGGAGACCAAACGTGTGGAAACTTTGAGAGGGCGTTACTTTATCGGAAAACAGGAACACGCTGAACCCTCGATGGAATAATAAGTTGTGTACACATATTTGAGTCATGTGTGCTAAGATTCCACTTAGGATAGCGACCCCAGAGACTAGAAAACTACACCAATGGTTGTGATACGTAATGATCAGTGTGTGGCTGGTGCATTCGCTCACGCTTTCCATCGGATATGGGCGTCGTCTAAAATTTGCAGCATGTATGCAATTCAAAAACAAACACTGCAGATTTGACTGGATCCAGCTTTACGCGAAACTTAGTCTCTGATTTGTGTTTGCCGGCATTCAGCTTACAAACGCCGCTGCTGTATGCCAATGTTTATTCGATTTCCCTCCTTAAGTCAACGTATGTGGTCACCAATCATCACACAACAATACACCCCAGCCAGACGGGTCGCCAGGTTCCCGACCAGGAAAGTGGAGGCACACGTAACATCCAACACCAGCGCGACAGCCACGGAGCACTTGGAGTACCGCTGGATACCGCCGTCGAGTGTCGGTGGGCACCGCCGCGACGGCGCCAGCGTGGTCGGCCCCACCGCTGCCGCGTCCTCGCGCCGGCCTCGGGCGACGCCGCTGCGGCACCCCCGTCCCCTGCGGCCCCGCGAGCTGGCTGCGGCGCGCCCGGTCTCGCGCCACGCTCCAGATTCGACTGCCATCGCGCGCTGTTTACGTTGGCCTGCCCTTGGCGGCGGCGGCGGCGCGGCTAGGTCTCCGCCAGCGAGACGCCCATCAGCTTGGCCGACTTGTGGTGGCCCAGCCTGTTCTCGTCGAAGTACGGGCTGGCGGCGAGCGTCTTGCTCTCGCAGTAGCGCAGCTCCCGCAGCACCTCGAAGCCCTGGTTGAGCAGGATTTTCTGGGCGGTGCGGTGCGTGACGCCGGCCACCACGGCCTGGCAGCCGTCCTTGCGCGCCAGGTCGAACGAACTGGTATCGACCAGCTCCTTAGCGATGCCCTGATGGTGGTAGTCGGGATGCACGGCCGTCATGCAGCGGTGCAGAATGCGCGTGGCTCCGAAGTGTGCAAACACGTCCACGCCGTGCTGCGGGGGGAGGGGAGGGGTCAGGTCAACGACTGTGGTGGCAAGAGGAGCGGGGGAGGGGGGCATCAGGTCATCGACAGTGGGGAGGGGGGTGTCAGATGAGCGGTAGTGTGGAGAGGGGGCGTCCGATCAGCGGCAGTGAGGAGATGCCATGTCAGTGGCAGTGTAGAGGGGGGATGTGACATCAGCGTGTGGAGGGGGACGCCAGGTTGGCGGCAGCAGTGGAGGGTCAGGTCGGCGGCGCTGGGTAGGGGGGCGTCAGGTCAGCGGCAGTGAGGAGATGTCATGTCAGGGGCAGTGTAGAGGGGAGATGTGACATCAGCGTATGGAGGGGGACGCCAGGTCGGCGGCGGCAGTGGAGGGTCAGGTCGGCGGCGCTGGGTAGGGGGGCGTCAGGTCAGCGGCAGTGAGGAGATGCCATGTCAGTGGCAGTGTAGAGGGGAGATGTGACATCAGCGTGTGGAGGGGGACGCCAGGTCAGCGGCAGCAGTGGAGGGTCAGGTCGGCGGCGCTGGGTAGGGGGGCGTCAGGTCAGCGGCAGTGGGGAAATGTTAGGTCAGCGGCAGTGGGGAGATGTCAGTCAGGTCAGCGGCAGGAGGGCGCTAGGTCATTGGCAGAGGGGATGGGCGTCAGGTCGGTGACAGTGGAGGTTTCAGGTCGGCGCCAGTGGGGAGGAGAGCGCTAGGTCAGCGGCGGTGGGGAGGGTGACGTCAGGTCGGCGGCACTGGAGGCGTCAGGTAAGCGACAGCGGGGCAGGCTCAGGGCAGCGGGTAGCGGGAGGGAGGGGGGGGGAGGGTGATGGAATATAGTGTAGGCACGTGACGCTCAGTCCACAACGCGCGGTTTCCATGAGCTGGTCCGTGGATGTCTGGCCTTCCATCGGGGTCATCTTAACACAACGGCACACACCGAGACACACCAAGAGACCTCAGAGGCGCATGAGCTTTCCGGAATCGCATGTGTTATAC